TACCTTTGATGGGGGAGGGAGGAGGCGCTCCCGGGTCGGCTTCTCCCCTCCGCCCCTGCCCGGCTCCCGCCTCCTTCACCCCCGCCCCAGGTACCCACTCCACTCCCCGCGCGACAGATCCATGCAACCCTCGCCCCCACCCCCGATTTCTCCCTTTCTAACTCCCAATTTCTCCCGCCCACACGCCCCAGTGACCTCAGGCTGAGAGAATAATTCGTGTTATTACTGCATACAAACTCACTCTCCGGAAGCCTGATTTCTCCGAGACCCGATCGATTTCCATGGCTACCCCTCCTCCCCTGCCTTCCCCTCTTGCCGGGTTCTCTCTGCCTCCCCCTCCCTGCCCCCCACGGCTCTGACTCAGCTCTCCCTCTTCTCCCAAGGCCACCTCCCCTCCCTCCCCTCTCTCCCACTGTGCCCTCACCCTCTCCCTCCTCGGACGGAGATTTGCTCTGCTTGCCCCACTCGGGCTCTCAAGGCCCCGGTGGGCCGGCTCCCCTCTTCGACCCGCCACCACCTTGGGCCTGACCCATGTCCGGCTCTCCGGTGTCCCAAGGTAGCAGCGCCCCACTTTGGTGGGGTCCCACCTCCCTCTGATGCTGTTGACCCCCTCCCATCCTTGGGCTGTGTTGTTGACAGCCCTGTGCCTCCTCCTGGCCCCCCCCCACTGGCTTCACCCCCTCTCAGGGTGGGCCCCCAACCTTAATGCTGACCCTTAGAACTTTTCTGTAGTGAGGGTCAGCCAAGCCAGCTGGCCCCAGGCTGGAGGCCTCCGCAGCTGCCCTGGTGCTTCACAAGAACTCCCTCGCCTTAACCGGCCATCCTCCTGGGCCTCCAGGCTCCTAGTCGCCCCTGAATCCTGCCCTCTCCTTTTTTCCTGTTATCGTTTGTCGTCTTAACTTGATCGTTCCTATTTTAAAATTGCCCTGCTCCCCTCTTTAATCCATCATTTGTCTCCCCACAATTGGGGGAGACCATCCTGCCTGTCCCTTTGCTGTCTCTGTTCTTCCTACCTCTGGGGGACACTCCCAACACCTGCCTCTGTTCTGCTGATCCTCTTCCAGTCTGGGGGACTCACCCCTTCCCGTGGAGGGTGGGGCAGGAAGATACAGGCCTCCCCCACCCCCAACACCAGCCCACAACTAGAGAAGTGGCCCCTGGTGATGCCCTGCTCTTATTTGTTTGTAGAAAGTACTAGATGCTTCTGCCATACTCCACTTAGAAGCCCCGAGGTCCCTCAGGACAGCGTGGACATCTTTCCAGCCACTGACCCGTCCATTTAAACCACCACAACAAATATGGCCATAGAACACTTTTTCTCCGAGTGCTATTCTTGGTTGAGCACAAATGGAATATTTTGGTGCAGCATTATTATTTCTCTTACAACAATTGGGGAGAGGAGGGACACAGATGGATAAGGCCTGTCAGGGAGAGGAGAGGTAGCTGGAGGAAAGGGGAGGGTCATGTCTGGAGGGGCTGACCCCCTTCTGGAGGACATGACCAACGTGGGGCTTTGGGAGGGGGTGGGGGGGTTGAAGGTGGAGCAGCTAACCTCTGCCTGCTTCAGGGAATGAGGTGATTGCCGTGGACTGGAAGGGCCTGAAGGATGTTGACCAGATCAACATGGACAGCACCAGCTCGCTGCACGGCAGCAGCCTCCACCGGCCATCCACGGAGGTGAGACCCCTCTACGCAAAGACCCCAAGAACAGTCACCCACAGCCCAAAACGCAAGTTAGCTTCCTCAGTCGCAGGCCAGCTCATCCTGGCACCTCAGACCCACACTCTCACGGAGCATTTGGCTTTGCCTCAGGATGCCAGCTCCCTTAACTTCGGGGAAGTCCACCCCACTTCACCTGCTTCCAGAAGCCCCTCTGTAGAAGGGGGGAGGGGGGTTACTGGCATTCCAGCAATGCCAAGACACCCACTTCCTTTTCTCCCCACTCACAGCAAACCCGAACGGATTTCTCCTGGGATGGCATCAATGTGAGTGCAGCCCCCCAAACCTGCCCAGACCACCCCCCCTTCTCTTCCTGATACTCCCCCTCAGGCCTTCCAGAGTCCAGTGCTCCCAGCCTACCTCTGCCTTTTCTAGGGTGGATGGGGAGAGGGACCCCCGGGTGTAAGGCTCTTCCTCGTCGCCTGCCTTGGTGTGTCCTCCCTGGAAATCAAGAACCCTCCACATATAAAGCGCTCCTAACCCTCCTATTCCCCACCTTCTGTGTCCCCGACCCCAGCTGTCCATGGAGGACACCACGTCCATCCTTCCGAAGCTTAAGCGAAACTCGAACGCCTACGGCATTGGCGCCCTGGCCAAGTCATCTTTCTCAGGTGAGCCCCCCCCGCTCCGCCCCAAGGATGCATCCAGATAGGAGGTGAGACCCCTCTACCCGAAGACCCCAAGAACCATCAACTGCCCCCACTTGAGTCAGCTTCCACAACTTGAGTCAGCCTCCCGGCTCAGACCGACTCGTAGGTGCCTTCAGGCCACATCTCACAAAAGTCAGGTCTGAGAAGACCTTCATCTCTGTCCCCCTGACCTGCTTGCCCTGTCTGCTGCTCTGTCTCCTCCCCGCTGCCCCACAGGTCTAGGGCTCACCTGCCCGCCCTGGGATGGAGCCCCCTAGGGCCAGAGTAGGTGAGCAGGGCATCTGGGCCGGGCCTTGCAACCTGTTCTGGAGGGTGTGATCATGTCTGGCCCCTCAGGGATTTCGAGGAGCATGAAGGACCACGTGACGAAGCCCACCGCCATGGGGCAAGGCCGGGTGGCACACATGATCGAGTGGCAGGGCTGGGGCAAGGCCCCTGCCCTCCAGCCGCAGCACAGCCACGAAGCTGTGCGCAGGGACACAGATGCCTACTCGGACCTCAGCGATGGCGAGAAGGAGGCTCGCTTCCTGGCAGGTACCTGTGCCCTGAGCCCGCGGGGACCCAGGCGTGGGGTGGCCAGTGATTGCCCTGCCAGTCCCACCCCCCCATGGCAGGATGTGTCTGCCCACACCACGGCCCTTAGGCTTCCCTACCCGATCAGCTCTAATTCCAACTACTGTGAACTGGTGATTCTTTCTTAATTTAATTTTTTAAAAAGCTTTACTTATTTATGCTTATAAGAACTGGGGTACAGGCCAGAGGTACCAAGGTGGGAGTGAGAGGATTCACCAGAGACAGAGTGGGGAGCAGAACAGGAAGATATACCAAAACACACTGCTGAGGGGAGCAGCGGGGAGACAGGAGAAGTCTGCTGCGCCCTGTGGGTCACTCCCTGGCCAGGGATCGAACTCGTGCTGCAGTGGCTGCTGACAGCTTCATAGTGCGGCACTTCACACTCCCTGCAGCATGCGAAGGGCTTGGCACCACGCTGCTGTGCTTAACCCCTTGAGCCACCAGGGAGGGCCCTTTAATTTAACTTTTAAAATATATTTATTATACCCTCCTTCATTTTTGTACAATGCACGGTTTCCCCGTGAATTTCTCACCCCCAGAACTCCCGTGCACATCACCGCAGCCCCTTGTGCTTGGCCCACTCCTGTCCTGTCTTCCTCCTTCCCTGTTGATTGAACTGGCAATTCTGACACGAGCCCTCAAACTGATTTTTATTATCCTCTGAGAAACTGGGGAGCACTCCACGGGATTGAGCATCCACTGTCCCGCATGCCTTCTCTCCTACATACGGGACTGTCCAGCCCTGGACTCCTTTAGGCCAAGGCCTTGGACTCGGAGAGGACTTCTGGACTTGCACTCCTGTTTCACCAGGGAAAAAGAAAGGCAGGCCTCGGGGCCCGTCCCTCCTTGGCCCACGAGCACCAAGTAGTCTTGGCTTCACTTCCTGGGCTCAGCTCTCATGATAGACCAGACAAGGCCCCTGGGTGTGTACAAGAGGCCCAGCCCGGGAACCCACAGGTATAAGGCACTGGAGCACCCACGGTGACCACACCCTAGTGGCAGGTCTCAACAGGAGAGCTGGGGGGGTGATGGGTCTCAGGGAGGGGAGTGGAGGCAAGCGTTGGGGGGTAGGCAGCCAGAAATGTAAGTCACCCCACTTTGCCAGACAGGAACCTCCAAATCTACCTGTCCTCACTGTTGTCTCCTTCTCCCCTCTCCTTTGAATCTCTTCAGCATTCCATATCAGCATGACCTATGACACCATGATGCTCCTTTGAGGATTCTCTGTTGACCTCGAGGCTTCCTGTCACCATCACCCCTCCCACTCCATTCTAGAATCCTCTGTCTGTGGTCGCTAATAGTAGCTACCATTTCTAAAAACGGCCAAAGGCACATTTCTGGAATTCTTTAACTTCAGTCTCTTAGGGCATCTCACCAGAAGACCCTAAATCTGGCCTCTGGGAAGTCCCCAGGATTTTTCCTTGTTTCTGGGAATATGCAAAGACTGCTGTCCAGTATAGTAGCCACTGGACAGCTACTGAGAACTTGACAGGTGACTAGTCTGGATGGAGGTGTGCTTGCTCTAAGTGTACAGCAGCAGTGGATTTCAAAGGCTTTATGTGAATAAAAGAATTTAAAATATCTCATTAATGTTTATATGGGTTCTATGCTGAATTGATCATCTTTTTATATATTGAGTTCAAATAAGATATTTAAAAAATTAATTTCACCGACTTTTAATTTCCTTAATTTTTAAAAAAGAGTTATTTATTTGTGCATCTAAGAACTGGGGTACAGGCCAGAGGTGCAGGGGATGGGGTGAGAGAATTCACCAGAGACAGAGTGGGGAGCAGAACAGGCAGATTGGCTGAAATACACTGTTGAGGGGAGCAGTGGGCAGGACAGGAGAGGTCTGCTGTGCCGTGTGGCCAGCTCCCTGGCCAGGCATTGAACTCATGCTGTAGTGGCTGCAGACAGCTTCATAGTGCTGCACTTTAACCCCTTGGACCACCAGGGAGGCCCACCTACTTTTAATTTCCTTTAATATGGCTACTTGAAAATTTAAAATGGCATAAGTGGCTTCTTTCTTTTTTTAAAAAAGATTTATTTATTTATGCATACAGAACTGGGGTACAGGCCAGAGGTGGGGGGCAGTGAGAAGATTCAACAGAGACAGTGGGGAGAAGGACAGGCAGATCAACAAAGTACACTGCTGAGGGGAGCAGCGGGCGAGACCGGAGAGGTCTGCCGCGCCCTGTGGGTCACCTCCAGGACCGTGGCTCGAACTTGCACTGAAGCGGCTGTGGCCGGCTTGCAGTGCTGCGTCCTAACCCGTTGCGCCACCAGGGAGGGCCCCGTGGCTTCTTTCTATTTCTACTGACCAGCACACACTGTCCTGGTACCCCCAAAGCATGCATTGAAGGTTCCGGGGGGTGCCTTGTGGTGACTGCGTTTCTCCTTCCAGGAGTCATGGAACAGTTTGCCATCTCTGAGGCCACGCTCATGGCCTGGTCTTCCATGGATGGTGAGGACATGAGTGTCAACTCCACCCAGGAACCACTGGGCTGCAACTACAGTGACACCTACCAGGAACTGATGGAGAGTCAGGGTGAGGGATGGCTCCAGAATGCCACCCTGCAGCCTCCGAGAGCGCCCCAACCATATGCTCCCTCCTTTCATCTCAGCTCCCAGACCTTCTGTCTTCTGCACTTTCAAGCTGTCCTTCCTCCAGTCGTACCCTTCATTCTCTGTGGGGGGGTCGGGGGGGCAGCGCCCACCAGCCTGTGCACACCCCTGACCTCCGCCATTCTCTCTGCAGATGCCCTGGCTCCGGGCCCCATGGACGGATGGCCTCACTCCTACGTGTCCCAGGGCATGTACTGTCTGGGGTCTTCGGACGCCTGGGAAGCCAGCGACCAGTCCCTCATTGCCTCTCCCGCCACAGGCTCCTATCTCGGCCCTGCATTTGATGACTCACAGCCCAGCTTGCACGAGATGGGGCCTTCCCACCCTGCTTCGGGATACTCGACTCAGGAGCCTCCGCCTTTGCTGGGGGGTGATACTGACTGGGCTCCAGGGGTGGGCGGGGTGGACCTGGCCAGGGGCGCCTCTGACGAGGAGAAGCGGCCACTGGCCCCCGAGGAGGAGGAGGACGCGGGGTGCCGGGACCTGGAGTCGCTCTCGCCGCGAGAAGACCCTGAGATGGCCACGGCGCTCAGCCGGAAGGTGTCCGACGTCACTTCCTCAGGTGTGCAGTCCTTCGACGAGGAGGACGGTGAGGCCAACCACTAGCTTCCTCCGCGACGCCTGCCTTCCACTCCCGCCGGGGGTGGCTGCAGCCGCACCGCCCTCCCCAGCCGCACAGCCGAACCTGGGCTGCCAGTCCCCGCCAGGAAGGCCCGGCCGGCGTGCCGGCTCGGCTCGGTCCAGGCCCCCCGTCCAGGCCCCCGCCGCGTCGGGACCACAGGTCCGGACCTGAGATCCAGCACCTGGATGGCTGTGAATGTGCCGGGCTGCGGCTTCGGGCCTCGGGCTGTGACGGTGGTGACACTCCAGCATTTCTGAGGTGCAGGTGGCCATCGGCTGGACCTCAGTTCTTCACTCCCTGATTTTGTCTTCCAGGATCCTTGCCTGTGGCTGTCTGAATGCCTCTGTTCTCCATGTCACTCTTGCTTTTTCCCGGCTGTTTTCTCTGGCGGTGGCCCCCCTCATCCCTACCACGAGGAATGGACCTCGGGGGTGCTGGACCTGGCTCGTGGGCACAGGGGAAGCCACAGAGAGGCCACTCTCCAGAGAGGGTGGAGGGCAGCCCTCCATGGGTAACTTGGCTTCAGAGCCCCGAGCCCCGCGTGTGGCTGGGGGGTGGGCACAGGATGACAGTGTCCCCGGAGGCCAGAAAGTCACCGCTCAGGGCCAAGACCAAGCACGGCCGCTTGCTCTGGGCTCTCGCGCGCATCCAGGGCTGACAGGAGGATCCGAAGGCCACGGGAAGGACCCAGCTGGGGCTGGCTGCTCCAGTTCTGCTTCTTCTCCTGCCTTCTTCCTCCCCTGCTCCGGGAGCCCTGGCCCTGGGGGGGAGGGGTGGGGTGACATGGAAGGTGTGTGTTCCGGCCAGGGGGGCTCATGAGTGCTGTGTCTCCCTCCATACCCTGCCCCCCCAATTCTCTGGAGCTGTTTACACTTTTCTCTTTGCCTTTTCTACATTTTTATAACTTCTTGGGGACTCAGGGTTGAGTGGGATGGAGGGAGGAGTCGGTGCTGTCAGGCCTGGCCTGGTGGGTCGTGTGCTGAGGGGCAGGGTGGGCCCTGGCTCTTACACCCCCTTCCCCTTCAGCTTCTCCTAGGACGCCCTCCCCAGCCTCCTGCAGGGGAGAGACGAGATGAGCCTTCTTCCACCCAGAATGAGGGACAGTGAGGCATAAGCCCCTGAAACTCCTGGTCCCCCCGCACTCTGTTTCCATTCGGGTGGGGACTTCTGTGCAGTGTGTGAAATCTCAACATTTCCCCAAGAGATCGTGACAGCAGGCAGGCTGGGGGTGGGGGGTTGAGCAGGCCAGCATGCTGCTGCCTGGGTCCCCCTCTCTAGCCCTGGGCATGGGGAGAATGGGGGGAAAGTGGAGCTAAGGGGTTCATTGGACCCCTTTCCCTCGTTTCTCGTGCATGCCCGTGGTTCCAGACCCCAGGTCTCCTGTCCTAACCCCCACTCTGTCAGGGGTCATCACTTCATCCCTTGCCGGAGGCGGGCACTCGCACCCTCTTCCAGACCCTGGGCACAGATGAACCCCTCTTCCAAGCCCCAGGCTTCTGCTTCTGTGGCACAGGAGGTTGAGAGTCAGGCGTGTGTGTTTCCATCTGTGACCCCGCTCCCCACCTCGAGGTCACACTCACACTGTGCTCCTGAACACAACTGAGGCAGGGGCCAGGTCTCCCCCTGGAGGGACAGTGGCCACCATGGGCTGGCTCTGGGAGGCAACAGGAGCAGACTTGGAGTGGATGTAGCGAGGAGAGTGGGGAATCTCCTCCCTGCTCTGACGCCGTCTGTGAATCCAGCGGTTTGAGCCTGCGGCCAGACTCTGGCGGCCCCGGACTTCCAGGGCGCTGGGAAGCCGCTGCCAGGCCGTTGTTCCAGCTGCTGACTTGGCCCGGACACCTGCTTCGGCCCTGGAGTTTTGCCAGCTCCCGGTGCCCTCCTCACCGGGGTCCCTGTTTCCTTGCCTTGCCCACCTGTTCTCACCACGTGTGCTCGTTCCATCTGTCTTAACACCGTTAGCGCCCCATATTTCAGCCCACGAGTGGGTTCACTCCTAGTTCCTTTTGCTCAGGGCCCTGGAATTATGGAAGCAGCTCTCTTCTCTCCCTCCTTTCCCCTCCCCAGCCCACCCCCTTCCCCAGGAAGCCACAGGGTCCTGCAGAAAGGCAAGAAAACTGAAGGAATGTGGTTTGGGGTGCCAGCCGCCACAGCACAGAGGTGGAGGGTAGGGGGGTCGGCGTTATGCAAGGAACCCCCCCTTCCACAGCGGAGCGAGCTGGTCCGGGACCCTTTTAGGGCTCTTCTGGAGGAACTGTCTCTGGTGCCGGGGGCAGGGTGCATGGGGTTTGCTTATAGCCTATTTTAGGGGGAGGGGAGGGGCATGTACAGGAAGAGGCTGTGGGGTGGGGGGTTGCTTCTCCTTTGGGGCTACAGGCTGTGCAGCACGTACTACAGCAGTCCCAGAACAGGGCTGTGTTTCTACTGTCAATGAAACTGCTCTTGCGAAATGATTTTCTTTCGGTGGGGGGTGCATTTTCACTTTCAATTTACTTTATTAAAGGAAAATCCAAATCTCCAATTCCTCCCCTTCCATTGCCCCCCCCCTCCCCACCCCAACCACACTCCTTCCTTCTTATTTTTGTGTGAAGGAGGGATGCTTGGTGAATGAGTTTACTCCCTCCCCAGCCCCCACCTCCACACCCCCATTCTCAGCCTTCCAGGTCTGAGGACCCAGTGTGTGGCCGGCCTTCGCGTGTTTTCCTAATGTGGCAGGCCTAAGAGAGATTCTATGACATATATCACAGAGAGAACTACACAGACATAAATATGAATATTGTAGATTACATACACGTGGGCATGGGCTCAGAGGCCCACTGCCAGGCCTCAGCCTCTCGCTCAGCCTGGCAGGGCCCTGTGAGGAGGCTGTGGGCTGTGAGCTGCAGCATAAACAATGTGGTAGCACCCCTTGCTGTGTGCCTCTTACTTGGGGGATGAAAGAACCTAGGCCAGGGGACAGGGAGGGGGCAGTGGGAAGGAGGGGCCACTCAGCCAGGCATGAGAGGAGGGAAGGCCTGAGAGCGAGACTGGGCTGAGCCACTGGGGCTACTTAGGGTCTAATGGGCTAATGGCAGACACCTGTGGCTGTTTTGGGGAGGATGCCTGAGTTTTTGAACCCCCAAAAAGAGCACCGTGAGCTAGCCAAGGAGAGGTCAGGGTGCCCGAGTCACCCATGATGGGAGAAGCCCGACCAGGGAGCTCAGGGCCGGGCCTACTGCCCGGCAGGGCAGATCAGGGATTATAACGGGGAGATGGGTAGCTTTCTGGGGAGGGCCCTGGGAACTGGAGGGTGTGGGGGCACCCTGCAAAACGGGGTTCGGGCAGAGCCACTGGGACAGGTGGGCGTTGTGCTGGTGGTAGGCACAAGTTTCCTTCTGCAGGGAACTTCTGACCTCGTCTAGGTCATGTTCAGGGTGGTCTTTTATTCACCTTTCACTGCTTAAATTGGACCAAGGAGGGGGGATGGGGTTGGCCTTTTGAGGCCCCTGGCCTTGGGATGGACGTGAGAGCCCAGTGGAGTCTGGAGGCAAATCTCAGGGACATGAGCACTTGGGGGTGATCCAGGAGCAGCAGTGGGTTGACAGCCAGGGGCAGGCCACAGGTGCTCCTGTGCCCTCCACTCCTGCAGGCCCAGCAGGCTGGCCTCCCACCCCGGCTGAGGACGCTGAGGGGCGGAATCCCGCAAGGCCAGGGACCAGCTGGGATTATGCCCTGGGGACCCGCAGAGGCTGAGGGGAGCCCGAGGGGCAGCTGAGCCACCGCCAGGGGAACTCAAGGTCAGACCACCTGCCCCCGCCTCCTTGGGGAGGGAGACATGGCCTAATAACTGACCCCACCGACTGGACTCCTCTAAGACTAGCACATTTCCAGAAAGGGTCAGGATACTGGTCTCCTTGGGACGTGCTCTCCACACAAGGCCCTCTCTGGCCAGGGCTCTCGGCCGTCCTCGAGGAGGTCCCGGAAGTGTCAAAGGATCAGCTCCTCCTCATCCTCCTCGTCTGTGGACCGCAGGCTGGGGCCCTGCAGGATGTCAGCCAACTCCTCCTCTGGCCCGGGACCTTCCGCCAGCTCCAGCTCCTCCAGCTCGCCCTGCGCCTTGGCTGGCACCAGCGAGAGGGGGGGTTCTGGGGGCGGCGGTGGCACGGGGGCCTCTGGGGAGCCCGCAGCCATGTCTGCTGCACCAGCAGCCCCCGCTCCACCCTCAGGCAGGTTCCAGGCTTCTGCAGGAGGAGGTGAGCTCCCAGGGGTCTTTCGAATTGAAGTTGTATTCCGGAAGCTGGCCAGGGGGGGGCGGAGCTGTACCCCAGACTTGGTGTGCCCCTCAATGGCCTTCTGCAGCTGGGAAGTGGGGGAAAAGAGGGCGTGAGACTGGGGGAAATGACAAAACCACAAGGGAGACAATCAGGAGAGAAGAACAGATATAAAAGGAGAGGGAAAGTGCAGAGACAGCGGAAGGGAAGAAGACAGAGGACGGGAAAGGCGGAGCATCCAACCTCAAGCTCCCTAACCTTCAGGCTTCCTTCCCCATTTTTTCTCTCTCTACCTGCTCCCACAGGGCACCTCAACACAACTGACAATCATGCTCTACTCTCACCCCAAACCCACACCATCCCTGGAAGATCACAGGGGTCACCTCTGGACTTCGCAGTCCTCTGACTGCTTCACCCCTCTGTCCCCCTCCAATCTCTGTGTGAAACAAAGAGGGCCACCCGGGGGTCAAACCATCCCTTCCCCCATCTCCCTCACCCCCATATCTACCCTGCCTCCTGGTGCTCCAGGGGGCACGGGCTATTACCTCCTCCAAGGCCAGCACGCCCCTGAGCTTGCCCATGTTGGTCACATAAGCCAGGTGGAGGCCCAGGAGTGAGAACAATGTGTGAGTCTGTGAGGAAAAACAGCAGGTGAGCGGTCTGGCCTCAGGCCTCCCCTGCGCCCCGAAGCTAAGCTCTGAGTGGTGGACAAGGACTTGCCTTGTGCAGGGAGGTCTGCTCCACCAGCTGGAAGGGGGACTGGTCAATACAGCAGCAATCAAAACACACGGGCTGGCTCAGCTGCTCCTGCTCCCAGGCTTCAATCTGTGGGCAGGGCAGAGCGGTGAAGAGCGGTGACCCAACATCTCCATGGGGCGCCTTCAACCTCAGACCCACGACTTTGACCTTGACCCCAGACAGCTCTCCTACCCACCCCACCCTCCCACCCCGAGTCCAGGGGAAACTCCCCAGATCCCTCCAGGCGCTTAGCCCAGCCTTCTCCCCAATGGATGGGGCCTCCCCTTCCCTCCCTCATCTGGCCCCAAATCAACCTTCACCCCGAGCCCGGAGAATACCACTTCCTCTTGCACCTGGCACCCCAAAATACTTGTTATTTCCAACCCATCTTTCAGGCGTACTTTTCACGACTCTGCCACACCCATGACTGTAGAAACCAACAGTTCTGGGCTCCTCAGGCTGCTTTTCTGCCCCTGCCTGTGCAGTTGGCTTTTCCTTGAGCAGCTCCCACCTGCCCCCCACCCCACACGCACCCGTCTTCCTGCCACCCCAGGCAAGAGTGCTTTTGCCCTCTGTCAATTCCTGCAGGCCTTTGCTTCGCAGAAGGGCCATCGATCTCACTCAGCCTGGTCCTGGCATTTGTCCACGTCTGTCTACCGGACGTGAACTCCTCGAGGCTATGACAAGTTTGGGTGCCCGTGTGCTGTGAAGCAACTAGTGTGTTTGCCTTTCACACCGAGATCACGGCCGGCGACTATTTGATGGATTTGAAGAGCTGCCGGGGACCACGCGGTGCTTCGTGACCTTGAGGAGGTTTCCTCTGTTGGTTTCATTTTTGTATGTGACAAAATCATTAAGGTGCAGAGACAGCTTGATTTTGACCCTTGTGCCACAAAATCCACTAGCGATCTGGCTTTGATAAATGAGTAAAATTTCCTGAGAGCTCTTGTCATTACCTTGTGAACGATGTACTAATTGACTTGTTTTTCTATCTATGCAATTGTACCACCCCTCAAGCTTCAGGGATCATCCCCGAAGACCATCCCCTAGTGCACAGTGACACACTCTCCATCTGTCCCTCCTGATTTTTCTGGACTGCAGTCACAGTCCTCTCTGCCCCTCCTCCCCCGACAAGTGCTCACACAGCACCGGACAGATGACTGCTCAGCAGGGCGCTGCAGAGCTGGCCGATTTATGGGATGGGGCTAGACTCCCACCATCCTGGCCAGTCCTGTCCTCCTGGTCTTGCTGTTTCCTGCCTCCACCCTCCCCCCCAGTTGCCTTCCTGTCAGAACCAACCACACAGACCCATCTCCAGCGCCCACATCCCCAGCACTCACTCTGCTGTCTAACTGTCTCTGCTCATTTAATCCTCTCCACCAGCCCTGCTAATGTCTCCATCTCACAGATGGCTACACAGAGGCACAGGTTGCTTAAGACGCTCGCCCATGATCACACAGAGCCGGACCTAGCCTTCTGACCTAGCTGCTGCCAACGTGCCAGCCCCACCCCCAGCTTTTGTCCGAGGGGAGGGGGGGTTCTGCTCTTGGGTCTTATGTATTCTACAGGGTGTTAGAGATTTATTTATTTATGCATACAAGAATTGGGGTACAGGCCAGAGGTACAGGAGGTGAGAGGATTCGCCAGAGACAGGACAGGGAACAGAACATGTGGATTGACTGAAATCCACTGCTGAGGGAGCAGAGGGAGACAGGAGGTCTGCCTCGCCCTGTGGGTCACTTCCTGGTTGACCTCATATTGCAGTGGCTGCGGACAGCTTCCTAGTGCTTAAACCTGTTGCATCACCAGGGAGGGCCCTGCAACTGAATTCCTTCACTCTCCCAGGGGTGTCATCCATGTAGTTTGCAAACAACCTTCAAGATACCATGAACTGTGACCCTCTACCAGATCCCAGCCTTCCACAATACCTCTGTGGATCACATGGCTGCCCGTAGCTCCCTGTAATCTTTCCAAGGAGGCCCTCCCTGGTGGCGCAGTGCGTTAAAGCACTGCACTAAGAAGCTAAAGCCACTTCCGCATGAGTTCGATTCCCGCCTGCCCCGGAGGAGATCCACATGGCGTGGCAGACCTCTCCTGACCCGCCCGCTGCTCCCCTCAGCAGTGGACTTCGTCGATCTGCCTTTTCTGCTCCCCGCTCTGTCTCTGGTGACTCCTCTCACCCTCCGCATCTCTGGCCTGTACCCCAGTTCTATATGAATAAATAAATAAATCTTTAAAAAAAAAATCTTTCCAGGGAAAGACCTAAGCTAAAACTGTAGAATCTTCTTACCATCCCTGGCCGCACTTTATTTCCAGCAGACATGGAACTACCTACCAAGCAGCTGACTTTCCACCTGGAGTATTTTTCTCAACAAGTTCATCACTGCTTTGTGCTTCGTAGCCAGGTACCTTCACTCCACTGATGAGCATCAGTTGCCTGCTCACAGGCAGGAGGAAGGGAGCCCCTTTCTTACTCTGCCATGACCTGTTCAGCTTTCCCCTAAGTCATTTGTCAGAAGTGTGTGTTTGAGGGAGTTGCAGCGGACGGCTAAACCTCTCCACCGTCCCCCTCCAACCGCTCCTCTGATGTGTGAGTGCTGGCTGCCAGTACCATCTCCCTTCTGGGAAAGCTCACCCTGCCTCTGCCTCCCCAGTGTCTATGGGATCGAAGACTCGTCTTAGCACCACGATCCCACTTGCCCATGGAGGCGCAAAACTGCAAAATGATGACGGTCCCCCCGGCTTCCACCTCTCAAGCAAGGCGCCTGTGCCTTTCTCCACAATCACATCTCATTCCCAAACTCTCAAACGCTGGGAATCTCCCTCCTACACTTGCATTTATCCTTAGCACGATCAAGAATTTAGAAAAATGAGCACTGTCTTCACGTGACAAAACCATCACCTCACGCTGCTATTTCCTTTACTTACTTCTTCAGGTGACATGTTATCCACCAAATTCGTTGAATCCTAGAGAAGAGAGACACAGGTTCCAGGTGTTTCCCTCGGCCCGAGAGCAGGTATGGTGCCATGAGCCACCAGCCGCCTTGCCTTGGCCAGAGTGACACATGTGCCTTAGGGACTAAGCCGGGGATGAAGCTCCTCCTTCAGGGTGGCCCCTGCTCCCTGAGGCCCACGGCTCCTTCACTCCTCCCAGGCCAGCCCCTGTCCTGCCAGCCGTCCCAAGGCAGCCCCTCACCTGGGTTGCTTTCTTCTTGGGGGGGCGAGTTCTGCCCAGAAGGCAGCGCAGCAGGGACCGAAAGACCGAGGGTCTTTGACCTGAAAGAGGTGGTGAGTGGGGGGAAACACCCAAAGTGGTGGGCACCCTGGGAGGACATGCGAGGCGCGGGGTGTCCCAGTGGTGCCTTTTCTTCCCAGGGGCCCTCGCTGGCCAAGGCACCCTCTCTTCCAGCCCCCGGGGGCAGCAAAGTGAGCACTTCAGGTACAGGATTCCCTGCCCGCTGCTGCCACCCCCTAGCTTCACCCCACCTTCGCCCAGAGAGAACCCCCAAGGCTGTGACTTAAAGGCAGAATAGAATTTTCACCTGCAGGCTCCGGGGCCTCGGGGTGCTGTTTGTGACTGGGCAGGGGCCCATTGGGCTCTTCCGCGGGCAGCGAAGCGGTAGGGAAGGCGTGAGCCGGGGGAGCCGGGGGAGACACCTGTGAGGACCGGTGACCACTGACCAGGGGAGCCCACACGCTGCCCGAGGCTTCCCTGCCTTTCCAGCGGGTCTCGGGGAACCCACCCGACCGTCCTCTTCCTTCCCCTCCACCCCCAGTTCGGAATTCCTCCTCCCGCGCAACCCTCCTGGCAGCCTGCTCTCCCTCTGCTCCTGGATCCTGGGGCGCTGGCCCTTTGGGCCCCGGATCCGGGGCTCCTGCTTAGTCAGCCCTCGCCGTCGGCCCTCCCTCTTCCTGCTCTCCCCTCGCCCGGATCAGCCCGCGCCACCTCCCCCAGAGCGGTCACCTCGGGCTTCCCCCAGAGGTCTTCTTCTTCATCCTCGTCCACAAAGGCGAACGACTCCGGGCGGCCCCGGTGCGCCTCCCCGGCCGGCCGCGCCTTGCCGTCGTAGGGCAGCTCCGCCAGCTTCCTCGCCAGGTCCCGGGCGGCCAGCAGCCTGCGCTCCGGGCTCAGCTGGCGCTGCAGCAGGGCCTGCAGCTCGGAGCGCTCCACACAGCCCAGCAGGGTCATTGAATCTGGGGGGGGGGGGGGGACACGGGAGCGGCCCAAGCTCAGCCTGAGGGTCTGCTCCACCGACGCCCCCACCCTGCGCGCTCAGCAGGACGGGAGAACAACGTCCGCCCCCCTTTTCTTTTTCCATTTTCTCTTCCTAAAATTCATTGCAAAAGCCTTCCAGGATTGACCTCACTCAGTCCCTTTCATTTCACCTATTTAGCACTTAGAGACCCAGATGACAGTACACTAATGGGTGCTAACTTGTACCAGCTCTTATATAACCTGTGTGCACATTGGTGAACTTGGTACTAAGATAGGTTAATCAACCCCGTGGGGGCGGGGGTGGGGGGCGGGGAAGAAAAGGATCTTTCCAAGTCATTTAGACAGGCTCAGGTGTGAAAAGCTGAAGTCTGTAAGGACAGCTGATGTTTAATCATTTGAAGAATCTGGGCCCTTCTAGGATACAAGCCAAATGCCTGCCTTTCCTGGGAAGGTTTTTCATATCTTTATTGAAATGCTGCTACTATAATTAACATTTTCATTAAATTTTAAGGCCATAAAATTGCAGCAGTGTTATTGAGATAAATCTGCCTCAGACCTTCGTCATTAGTAGGAAAACTCTGGACACGTCATTGGCTGCTTTGCTCCAGCCAAGAGTCGTGGTTTTAGAGGTCACTTAGAAGGAATTTGGGGTTTGGGGAAATATTAGAGGAAATAAAACGTGAGCCATTGGGATACTCTGATGATCTGAGATCAGAACCAGCCATTTTAATGGCGCCTTGTGGCCCTGCATGAGTCTTCTCTGTTACTTAAGTTCAAACATTAGGCAAGCATTTATTTATTGACTAATGATGCCAAAGGAAGCAGCCTGAGGGTGATAGGAGTTACGGCCTCTGTCCTCAAAGGCTGCCAGTCCCGTGAGGAAAACAAGGTACATAGATGTATGTGCTAGAAGAAGGATGGTGAAAGAAGTGAAATGCAAAGTAACTGTTTACTAGAATCACACTCTCCTTCACACAGAACCATTTCAACCTCTCAAATCTAGCTCTAAAGAACAGGCATGATTTAATTAACGACGAGAACCATATGAAGGGCTGGAAGTTTACACACCAATGTCATTATTCACAGATTTCCTATTTGCGATTGCACCAACCATCTAAAATGTATGTGTAACCCTAAGTCTCTATTCATGGAGCTCTCAAAGCATTCCCAGAAACGTGCAGGGCTGCCCAACCTGACTCGCTCCAGGCATGTGTTTCCAGCAGAGGCTGGACAAGGCGACCCTCGGCCTTCTTGTCTCAGCTCTCCTATTGTCAACAAGCATCTCTTCCGTGGTTCATTTATTGCACTTTGTTTTGCAATTTTGTGCTTTGCGTTAGTGATCGTGTTGTTCAAATTCCCCCTCAAGCATAGTTCCAAAGTGTTTGCTAGTGTTCCTAAGCCCAAGAAGGCTGTGAAGTGAGAAAATATGTATGCTCGTCAAGTGCTATTGGCGTGAGTTCAATGATAATGAATCAACACTATGTATGAAATGAGGCATATTTATAACGAAGCATGCATAAAACATGTTTGTGAAGGAAACGTGACCAGAGGCCCCAGGACCCTCGCCCTGCGCTTCCCCGGGAGTGGTGGCCCAGTGTCGTGTTCCCAGTTCAGTGTTTGTTCTGACTTTACAGAACACAACTGTGAATAATGAGAAATGACTGTATTTCCTTAACTGGATTTTTAAGTGTTTTCCTGGGCTTGTGTGAACGCTGTATTTTTCCTTCCTGAAGGACGATTATGTCCCTAAGGAACACTGGCTGGGTGTCCCATGGCAGACTGGGTGGACAGCCCCAAGTCACAGCCCCCTCCCCCTTTTATGGAACCTTCTGCAGCTGCCCGCTCAGCAGAGCCGGCTTTCTGCCTTGCCACTGACCTTTCGAATCAACCAGTGGCAACGTCTTGACTGTGGTGGTCTGCAGCAGGGTTTGCAAGTCCCCATAGGTGCAAGAGGCTGAAACAAACTTCACATCACGCACCATGATGTCCTCAACAAAGATTGTATACTTGCTACGGAGGGAGAAAGCATGGCGGTTAGCTCCACTGGAGACCTCTCCTTCTCTGGCTCCTTTTCGTCAACCCTAGAGGTTTGCAGGTGTGAAACCCTCACGACACACGCTAATCCACGGGCTATGAAAGGCAGTGCTTCCGAACAGGGACCCTGTCCTCAGGCTCAATGTCCGAGGGCCCCGGCCCCCACCCCGTCAGATCTGAACTAATCGCAGCTGGCGGCCCTGACCTGAGCTGGTTCCAACCAAGGTCAGGCAGGTAGGGTAGCTTCTTGACCTGGATGATGCTGTCATAGAGGGAGGGCTGCAGGGTCTGAGCCACCATGTTGGCCAGGATGACAGCCACCATCATGGGGAGGATGTGCGCGATCTGACCCGTTAACTCGAAGCAAATCACAGCCGTGGAGACGGTGTGAGACACGGCGCCCGTCAGTGCCGCTGCCCCTGGAATAGATGTGGGAAGGGCGGTGGGTCCAGGCCACAGGCCCTGTGGCTCTGCTGACCCGTGCGTTGCCAACACTCCCCAGCGCCACCCCGCGTGGGGCGGGAGGTTGAGCAGTTAGGAGATGTCTTTTGGCTCATCCTGTGACCTATCGCAAGTCCCCAGATCGCTGTGTGCCAGAATTGTCATTTATAAAATGAAGATAATGATGTCCTGCCTATTTGCTGCTTTTGAAAATTTGGCTCAGTCTTGGCTGAGCTTTTTAAAACCCACTTACGGCTTTCGACTTTAGACCTCAGGTTCTGATGCCAACAATTTATGAGCGAGGAGAGGGAGACTGAAGTCTCATACCCAGGCTTGGGGTAGTAGAACCTCATCAGAACTCGAT